ATGTTGGCAGTCCTCAGATAGGGGGCGCTTTCAAAAAGAGGGAACGAGCATATGCGTACCCTAAATAACACTGAGTGGGGGGCCGGGTGGTACATACACTGTGTGTTATTGTTGCCATGGTTGCAGGTCGGGGCCCGTCGGCGCAGGCACAATTGTATTCTAGGCAATGCTAATCCTTTTCTTTTTTCAGGGGGACGAGCAAGTGAAAACATTTAATACAAAATAGGCTAGCAAGCAGTTCGCGCCAGCGAAGAGTTTCGAATTTGTTGTATCACTTATATTTTCCTATTTTAATTTGTCTTAATTTTTTTGGGCCGTATGCGGAATATTTTTCTGGTGGGGGAGGGGGAAAGATGCGTTAAAAGTTTTCGAAGAATCTAAAAAGCAAACGGAGTGAAGGGAGTTCGAGCGACCGAACTGGTCATGAGGGTACTTTTGCATTTTCAAAAGTAGAATTGAAGGATTTGGTATAGGCCTACACTACATTTTCAGGAAAAAAACTGTACGTTTTCAAAAAATCTGGGGTCAACCCCCCCCCCCCTGGTGCATATGGCCTTGGTCTTTTTTTTTTAATTTCCCCATTTTTTTCCTTTCCTTTTCTTTTCCCTTTTTCTTCCTTTTCTCTTCTTCTTCCTTTTTTCTTTCCTTTTCCTTTTTTTTCCTTTTTTCTCTTTCTTTCCTTTTTTTCTTCCCTTTTCTTTTTTTCCCCTGGAGCCCGTCAGGGGGGGGGGGCACTCTGCCCCCCTGCCCCCCCATAGGTACGCCAGTGGTGCTCACCCGAGCATGAATTATTTTCGCAACTTTTGGTGTCATACGAAAGTTGAGTATATGAGCTTTCCATACATATATAACTTTTCCCCCTAGAATCATATATTTGTTATTCGGCAGCCATTTCAAAAATGTATAGTTTTTTTCGGGACACACTGTATAGGAAATGGCGAGCTGGCGACCTATTTTGACCAAATTACGGTGGGTAAACTTTCAAAAGTCAATGAAACATGAGGGTTCCAATGAAAGAGCTAGTGATAACGTACGACGTTTTTTAAAAAACGATTTTGGGGGTAAAAGTCCATAGGCTAACATGTTTATAGGCTGCTGGACTCTGACGATAGGGGACGTTGTCAGATGAGACTAAACGGAGCTATATGTAAATCACGCGCGTGTGGGTGCCAATTAGATAGACTAACAATTCTCTCCGAAAGAGAAACCTATACAAGAAATACGTAACCTGCTTCAAAGCTGTCGTCACTTCAACTTGTCTTTTCTTATAGTGGCATAGTCTGATGGCAGCATGTAAGGGCGTCTGGCCATCGTGTGACTGAGGATTTAGACCAGCACCTAGTGATACCAACTTTTCAATGATTGAAGTTAGCCCGCTTACAGTAGCAAGGTGAATGGGTGTTAGACCACCGCTGTCGCTATGATGTATAGATGATGCATCCTGTGAAAGAGAAACACAACACAAATAAATGATGGAATTCAAAATATTTTCACGCAATGGTCATGTACCTTTCATGAATTTTGATTTAGGCTAAATAATCATATATATACACGTAAATAAACTTTATATTAAAACGCTATCCATATATAAAGTAGAAGACATACAAATAATGACACGCGATAGATAAAACTTTGTTGTCGAACATTTTTTACTATCATTATCATTATATGATAATGTGGTATACATTTACTATGTATTGGTATTTTATAGCCATCATAAAAAAGGTGATACTTTTTTAGGAATACTATCAGCAGGCCTGAAAGCAGAACTGTAGTCTATAGGAAAATAAAAATTGTTGATGAAGTGTAAACAGTAGAGGTAGTGGGGGGGGGGGGGGGGGGGGGGGGGGGGGGGGGGGGAGGGGGTATAGTATGGGTGGCGGTGGTACTGATGCCGGTACTGATGGTAATGCATCCGATGTCATAGTAATTAACATAATAAGCTGAATGAGTTACATCTGCATGTACCTTATCAAGAAGAACCCGTGCAGTATCAGCATTGCCAGAGCTCAGAGCAATACCCATTGGTGACTGGCCTCTTCTAGAAAGTTTCGTGCTCATAACTGCTTTCCGATCCAGTAAATCATTCATCATTGATTCATTCCCACTTCATGAAAACGAGAAAACATATCTTATATTTATGATATACATTAACGTGTATATCTGCTTTTTGTGGGTGGTCTTTTCTCATTTATAAAAAAATAAAAATCTTTTTCTCTCACCCTTCTTTTTTCCTTCCCCCGCTCTCTCTCTCTTTCTCTTTCTCTCTCTCCCTCTCTTTTATTTTCCATCGCGCTCCTTTTCTTCCATTCTCCTTTCATTTCCGCGAAATTTCTAGTCCTTTTCTTTGTTTTGTCATTCTCGCTCACCTCTACCCTCGTTCTTTGTTAACATATTCCCAGTCTTCTCTTTGATTCGTTATTTTTTCTTGTTAACAGACTTACCCTTTTTGTTTTTGGAACTGTATTCATCTAGCAACGGTTACGCTCCATTTTTCACATGTTGAAATAAATTTGAAAAAAATTGTCATTCCTTGACAAAGGGTTAACGCCGAGAATTCGTACATTTTGTATCTCCTACGGTTGTTTCATTATTTCTTCTTCACTTGTCTATTTTTCGTTACCGGCCGCACGACTATTTTTTTTTAAAATTTGTAACTGTATTTTTTATATTATAATTAACATTTTGAATCTTAGTCCGCTTCGTTATGTTCAAAGTTTGTATTAGTATTCTAAATGTTCTGTTTATAATTAATAATAGCATGCATCTGAAATAATAAACGAAATTATTGTTCTTTTGAGATTTACCTAAATGGCAAATTCTTTTTGATTTTTTTTCGAAATCAAACTCAATCAATCAAATGTGATTGTAGCGGGACTTTAGGTTGTGTCTCATTCATTTTCAAATCTACATGTCCTATGGAACCGCTAATAAACCTACCGTTAACATTGAATCCAAAGAAATAACACGTTAACACTATTTTAAGAAAAGTAAGAAATGTTATTTTGCTTTAATAAAAAAAAATGAATGTTCTTGTCGAATGTAATAGCATTACAAAATTGAACATAGTAGTATTTTGTGATACAGTCCTGGAAAAAGATGAGTAGTACGTTAGAAGTATGCAAAATGTTGTATATTAAGAAGTTCACCTTGCTGCAGCATAATGGAGGGCTGTCCATCCTTCTGCATCCTCTGTCTCAATATCTGCATTGTTTTCGAACAGCAGACGTGCGCAGTCCAGACGTCCTCCCATTGCGGCTACCATGAGGGGCGTGACACCTTTTAAGGTCTGTGAGATAAATTATATCGGTACAATGCCCATACAGTTTGAAGTAGACCTATCACAAGATACACGTAGTCCTACTCTAATTTCATCAATAAATACAGTTTCCCTCCAATAGAGACAGTAAGGAAGAATGTGGAAAGTTTGCTGACTTGGATGATCATTGTGTTGATAGAATATCATCTTACTTATCACAAGTTTTGGAAATTATCTTTTCGACATTAATATTTACATGTTATCATACGTATTAATGATATATCTTGTTACAAATATCTACAGCACTGCTAGAAATTAGCTATTATTTCGAAAATATGACATTCTAGAAGCTTTGTGCTTTGTGCTGAATACCTCACTTGTGAGATCCTATTAGCCAGTCCTAATCCCAAATTCTGTGCTAAATACGCACAAATTAAAACACTGTATAATGTCCTCTCCGGTACCAGATTTGGTGTTTCCTTTTCGGTCTTTTGCTTTCGTCTAGAGCAACTGGACATTATTCAAATGAATAGATTGGAAGATTAAAAATCAACATTGAGTCCATGGCCCTGGTTAAAAGAATGTCTAAGCTTTTCACATTTTGGACATATATCTTACGGAGATGCAAGTTAAAAAATATATCACGTATTAATCACTGCATTTGCTTGCATGCCATACACTTGTTTTACATATTGATATTTGAATGGCTTTTACTTAACGGTCCAGTCGCGACGCGGCTCGAAGAACTGGCCGAAATTAGCCACCAATATGTATATGGTGTCTTCAAATGTTTTTATCAATGCGAAAGTTAAAACGCGCACCTCTCTGAATTTTTTCTTCGGATTTCACGCTTTCAGATACTTAAGTAAAAGATTGAACTATAACAAATGAAAGATGAAAGTCTTAAAGTTGCCAAAAATTGAAGAAATTGTTTATTCAATCTTCTCCCACCTCATTTTAGAAACTTAGTCACTGTTCTCATGAACTCTATTTTTTCCGATAAATCTATAACACCATGTTTTCCTACATGGTTTTGTTATTATTCTTATTAACACTCTTTCTAATCTTTTAACATCAAATTTATGGCTTGAGCACAGGCTTGTTATTGAGACATTTATAATACTGTAGGCATCCCCGGACAACTAGCCCTGGACAATTATCCTCGAGCAATTACCCCCAAGAACAATTACACCCAGGGCAATGATTCCTGGGACAATTACCTCCCAGTTACGTCCTGGGGGGGGGGGGGGGGGTAGTTGTCCGCGGCTACAGTTATGTCTCAATAACATGCCTATATTGATTCCATGAGAACAGTAATTCATGGACTCAATATTAACTTTTTTAAATTGTGTGAAATAGGTGTTATGACGAAGTATTTAATATTTCGCAGATTTTCGGATACAGTAATGTCTCAATTACATACCTATATTGATTCCATGAGAACAGTAACTCAAGGACTCGATAGTAACTTTCTGAAATTGTGCGGACGAAGTTTAATTAAGGAATTTTCAACTTTTTCGCAATTTTTAAACTTCAGTCTTCATTAGAATGCTTTAAATCCTTACTCGGGTATCTGTAGGCCTCAAATCGGGTAACTCATCCCGAGGGACCCGGTTTTTCTTCAATTTTTCCCTCTGAGACAGCACACGTGAAGACACCATAGAACAAATTTGTGGTTAATTTTCGGCCAGCGCGCCACGCTGCGCGACCCTACTGTTAACTAAGGGGAAGTTTGCATTGACTACAATACCTTAAGTCCCAGTTCAAGGGCGTCGTGACTATTTCCCAATGTGGCGCTAGTGTTGTTCCGTAAGAAATATTCCAACGATTCCAAATGACCATCACCTGCTACGAAATGAAAAACTGTCCAACCGAAAGTATTACGTGCCTCGATATCTGCTCCTTTCGTGATGAGATAGTTTATAATGTCAAGGTAGCCCCCACGAGAGGCAGCATGAAGTGGTAGATCACCATCATTTGCTGGTTTGTTAACATCTCCTCCTGCACTAACAAGACATTCAACGACATCGAGATGACCCACTTGAGAAGCAACACATAGAGGTGAATAGCCGTCGTTATCAACCGAATTCGGATTCGAGCCTTGAGAAATTAGATATTTTACAATGTCTACATGACCTGCATATGACGCCGCACGAAGAGGTGTATTGCCCCGCTCAGTCGCTACCTTCACATCAGCTTCTGCATTCACGAGACATTCAACAACATGAAGATGACCCTTGTGTGACGCAATGTACAGGGGTGTATCACCATCGTTATCAACCGAATCCGGGTTCGCGCCTTGAGAAATTAGATATTCTACAATGTCTACATGACCTGCATATGACGCCGTATGAAGAGGTGTATTGCCCCGCTCAGTTGCTCGATTCACATCGGCTTCTGCATTCACTAGACATTCAACAACATGAAGATGGCCCTTTTGTGAGGCAATGTACAGGGGTGTTACACAATCGTTATCAATCGAATTCGGGTTCGCGCCTTGAGAAATTAGATATTTTACAATGTCTACATTACCCTCTTGTGAGGCAAAGTACAGGGGTGTTTCACCATTGTTATCAACCGAATTCGGGTTCGCGCCTTGAGAAATTAGATATTTTACAATGTCTACATGACCTGCATATGACGCTGTATGAAGAGGTGTCCTGCCTTGCTCAGTTGCTCGATTCACATCAGCTTCTGCATTCACTAGACATTCAACAACATGAAGATGACCCTTTTGTGAGGCAATGTACAGGGGTGTTTCGTCATTGTTATTAACCGAATTCGGGTTCGCGCCTTGAGAAATTAGATATTTTACAATGTCTACATGACCTGCATATGACGCTGTATGAAGAGGTGTCCTGCCTTGCTCAGTTGCTACCTTCACATCAGCTTCTGCATTCACTAGACATTCAACAACATGAAGATGACCCATTCGTGACGCAATGTACAGGGGTGTATAACGATCGTTATCAACCGAATTGGGGTTCGCTCCTTGAGAAATTAGACATTTTACAATGTCTACATGATCTGACCACGACGCCGTATGAAGTGGTGTCCTGCCTTGCTCCGTTGCTCTCTTCACATCAGCTTCTGCATTCACTAGACATTCAACAACATGAAGATGACCCTCTTGTGAGGCAATGTGCAGGGGTGTTACACAATCGTTATCAACCGAATTCGGGTTCGCGCCTTGAGAAATTAGATATTTTACAATGTATACATGACCTGTATATGACGCCGTATGAAGAGGTGTCCTGCCTTGCTTAGTTGCTACCTTCACATCAGCTTCTGCATTCACTAGACGTTCAACAACATGAAGATGACCCTTGTGTGAGGCAATGTACAGGGGTGTTTCATCATTGTTATTAACCGAATTCGGGTTCGCGCCTTGAGAAATTAGATATTTTACAATGTCTACATGACCTGCATATGACGCTGTATGAAGAGGCGTCCTGCCTTGCTCAGTTGCTCGATTCACATCAGTTTTTGCATTCACTAGACATTCAACAACATGAAGATGGCCCTTTTGTGAGGCAATGTACAGGGGTGTTTCACCATCGTTATCAACCGAATTCGGGTTCGCGCCTTGAGAAATTAGATATTTTACAATGTCTACATGACCTGCATATGACGCTGTATGAAGAGGTGTCCTGCCTTGCTCAGTTGCTCGATTCACATCAGCTTCTGTATTCACTAGACATTCAACAACATGAAGATGGCCCTTATGTGAGGCAATGCACAGGGGTGTATCACCATCGTTATCAACCGAATTCGGGTTCGCGCCTTGAGAAATTAGATATTTTACAATGTCTACATGACCTGCATATGACGCTGTATGAAGAGGTGTCCTGCCTTGCTCAGTTGCTATCTTCACATCAGCTTCTGTATTCACTAGACATTCAACAACATGAAGATGGCCCTTATGTGAGGCAATGTACAGGGGTGTATCACCATCGTTATCAACCGAATTCGGGTTCGCGCCTTGAGAAATTAGATATTTTACAATATCTACATGACCTGCATGTGACGCCGTATGAAGAGGTGTCCTGCCTTGCTTAGTTGCTCGATTCACATCAGCTTCTGCATTCACTAGACATTCAACAACAGGAAGATGACCCTTGTATGAGGCAAAGTTCAGGGGTGTATAACCATCGAAATCAACCGAATTCGGGTTCGCGCCTTGAGAAATTAGATATTTTACAATGTCTACATGACCCTCTTGAGAGGCAAAGAACAGGGGTGTACAACCATCGTTATCAAACGAATTCCGATTCGCTCCTTGAGAAATTAGATATTTTACAATATCTACATGACCTGCATGTGACGCCGTATGAAGAGGTGTTACGCATTCGTTATCAAACGAATTCGGGTTCGCGCCTTGAGAAATTAGATATTTTACAATGTCTACATTACCCTCTTGTGAGGCAAGGTACAGGGGTGTTTCACCATTGTTATTAATCGAATTCGGGTACGCGCCTTGAGAAATTAGATATTTTACAATGTCTACATGACCTGCATATGACGCCATAAGAAGAGGTGTCCAGACTTGCCCAGTTGCTCTCTTCACATCAGCTTTTGCATTCACTAGACATTCAACAACATGAAGATGACCCTCTTGTGAGGCAAAGTACAGGGGTGTTTCACCATTGTTATTAACCGAATTCGGGTTCGCGCCTTGAGAAATTAGATATTTTACAATGTCTACATGACCTACATATGACGCCATATGAAGAGGCTTGTGGCCTTGCTCCGTTGCTCTCTTCATATCAGCTCCTGCATTCACTAGACATTCAACAACATGAAGATGACCCTCTTGTGAAGCAGTGTACAGGGGTGTTACGCAATCGTTATCAAACGAATTCGGGTTCGCGCCTTGAGAAGTTAGGTACTCTACAATTTCCACATGACCTGCATGTGACGCCATATAAAGGGGTGTCCTGCCTCGCTCGTTTGCTCTCTTCACATCAGCTCCTGTATTCACTAGACATTCAACAACATGAAGATGACCCTCTTGTGAGGCAAAGTACAGGGGTGTTTCACCATTGTTATTAACCGAATTCGGGTTCGCGCCTTGAGAAATTAGATATTTTACAATGTCTACATGACCTACATATGACGCCATATGAAGAGGCTTGTGGCCTTGCTCCGTTGCTCTCTTCATATCAGCTCCTGCATTCACTAGACATTCAACAACATGAAGATGACCCTCTTGTGAAGCAGTGTACAGGGGTGTTACGCAATCGTTATCAAACGAATTCGGGTTCGCGCCTTGAGAAGTTAGGTACTCTACAATTTCCACATGACCTGCATGTGACGCCATATAAAGGGGTGTCCTGCCTCGCTCGTTTGCTCTCTTCACATCAGCTCCTGTATTCACTAGACATTCAACAACATGAAGATGGTCCTTTTGTGAGGCAATGTACATGGGTGTTTCACCATTGTTATCAACCGAATTCGGGTTCGCGCCTTGAGAAATTAGATATTTTACAATGTCTACATGACCCTCTCGAGAGGCAAAGTACAGGGGTGTTTCACCATTGTTATTAACCGAATTCGGGTTCGCGCCTTGAGAAATTAGATATTTTACAATGTCTACATGACCTACATATGACGCCATATGAAGAGGCTTGTGGCCTTGCTCCGTTGCTCTCTTCATATCAGCTCCTGCATTCACTAGACATTCAACAACATGAAGATGACCCTCTTGTGAAGCAGTGTACAGGGGTGTTACGCAATCGTTATCAAACGAATTCGGGTTCGCGCCTTGAGAAGTTAGGTACTCTACAATTTCCACATGACCTGCATGTGACGCCATATAAAGGGGTGTCCTGCCTCGCTCGTTTGCTCTCTTCACATCAGCTCCTGTATTCACTAGACATTCAACAACATGAAGATGACCCTCTTGTGAGGCAAAGTACAGGGGTGTTTCACCATTGTTATTAACCGAATTCGGGTTCGCGCCTTGAGAAATTAGATATTTTACAATGTCTACATGACCCTCTCGAGAGGCAAAGTACAGGGATGTACAACCATCGTTATCAACCGAATTCGGGTTCGCGCTTTGAGAAATTAGATATTTTACAATGTCTACATGACCTGCTTGTGACGCCGTATGAAGAGGTGTCCTGCCTTGCTCAGTTGCTCGATTCACATCAGCTTCTGCATTAACTAGACATTCAACAACATGAAGATGACCCTTTCGTGAGGCAAAGTACAGGGGTGTTTCACCATTGTTATCAACCGAATTCGGGTTCGCGCCTTGAGAAATTAGATATTTTACAATATCTACATGACCTGCATATGACGCCGTATGAAGAGGTGTCCTGCCTTGCTCATTTGCTACCTTCACATCAGCTTTTGCATTCACTAGACATTCAACAACATGAAGATGGCCCTCTTGTGAGGCAATGTACAGGGGTGTATAACCATCGTTATCAACCGAATTCGGGTTCGCGCCTTGAGAAATTAGATATTTTACAATGCCTCCATAACCCTCTTCTGAGGCAATGTACAGGGGTGTTTCACCATCGTTATTAACCGAATTCGGGTTCGCGCCTTGAGAAATTAAATATTTTACAATGCCTACATAACCCTCTTGTGAGGCAATGTACAAGGGTGTTTCACCATCGTTATCGCACGTATTCGGGTTCGCGCCTCGAGAAATTAGATATTTTACAATGTCCACATGACCTGCATATGACGCTGTATAAAGAGGTGTACTGCGTAATTGCTCAGTTGTTATCTTCACATTAGCTCCTGCATTCACTAGACATTCGACAACATGAAGATGACCCTCTTGTGAGGCATAGTACAGGGGTGTACAACCATCGTTATCGCACGTATTTGGGTTCGCGCCTTGAGAAATTAGATATTTTACAATGTCTACATGACCTGCATATGACGCCATATGAAGAGGTGTCCTGCGTAATTGGTCAGTTGCTATCTTCACATTAGCTTCTGCATTCACTAGACATTCGACAACATGAAGATGGCCCTTGTGTGACGCCATGTGCAGGGGTGTTTCAACATTGTTATCAACCAAATTCGGGTTCGCGCCTTGAGAAATTAGATATTTTACAATGTCTACATGACCTGCATATGACGCCATATGAAGAGGCTTGTGGCCTTGCTCCGTTGCTCTCTTCATATCAGCTCCTGCATTCACAAGACATTCAACAACATGAAGATGACCCTTTATTGAGGCCATGTGCAGGGGTGTTACGCATTCGTTATCAATCGAATTCGGGTTCGCGCCTTGAGAAATTAGATATTTTACAATGTCTACATGACCTGCATATGACGCCGTATGAAGAGGCTTCTGGCCTTGCTCCGTTGCTCTCTTCATATCAGCTCCTGCATTCACAAGACATTCAACAACATGAAGATGACCCTCTTGTGAAGCAATGTACAGGGGTGTTACGCATTCGTTATCAAACGAATTCGGGTTCGCGCCTTGAGAAGTTAGATATTTTACAATGTCTACATGACCCTCTTGAGAGGCAAAGTACAGGGGTGTACAACCATCGTTATCAAACGAATTCGGATTCGCTCCTTGAGAAATTTGATATTTTACAATGTCTACATGACCTGTATATGACGCCGTATGAAGAGGTGTTCTGCCTAATTGCTCAGTTGCTCGATTCACATCAGCTTCTGAATTCACAAGACATTCAACAACATGAAGATGACCCTTTTGTGAGTCAATGCAAAGGGGTGTTTCACCATTGTTATCAACCGAATTCGGGTTCGCGCCTTGAGAAATTAGATATTTTACAATGTCTACATGACCTGCTTGTGACGCCGTATGAAGAGGTGTCCTGCCTTGCTCAGTTGCTCGATTCACATCAGCTTCTGCATTCACTAGACATTCAACAACAGGAAGATGGCCCTTGTATGAGGCAAAGTTCAGGGGTGTATAACCGTCGTTATCAACCGAATTCGGGTTCGCGCCTTGAGAAATTAGATATTTTACCATGTCTACATGACCCTCTTGAGAGGCAAAGTACAGGGGTGTACAACCATCGTTATCAAACGAATTCGGATTCGATCCTTGAGAAATTAGATATTTTACAATGTCTACATGACCTGCATATGACGCCGTATGAAGAGGTGTTCTGCCTAATTGCTCAGTTGCTCGATTCACATCAGCTTCTGAATTCACTAGACATTCAACAACATGAAGATGCCTCTTTCGTGAGGCAATGCAAAGGGGTGTATCACCATCGTTATCAACCGAATTCGGGTTCGCGCCTTGAGAAATTAGATATTTTACCATGTCTACATGATCCTCTTGAGAGGCAAAGTACAGGGTGTACAACCATCGTTATCAAACGAATTCGGATTCGCTCCTTGAGAAATTAGATATTTTACAATGTCTACATGACCTGCATATGACGCCGTATGAAGAGGTGTTCTTCCTAATTGCTCAGTTGCTCGATTCACATCAGCTTCTGAATTCACTAGACATTCAACAACATGAAGATGACCCTTTTGTGAGGCAATGCAAAGGGGTGTTTCACCATTGTTATCAACCGAATTCGGGTTCGCGCCTTGAGAAATTAGATATTTTACAATGTCTACATGACCTGCTTGTGACGCCGTATGAAGAGGTGTCCTGCCTTGCTCAGTTGCTCGATTCACATCAGCTTCTGCATTCACTAGACATTCAACAACAGGAAGATGACCCTTGTATGAGGCAAAGTTCAGGGGTGTATAACCATCGTTATCAACCGAATTCGGGTTCGCGCCTTGAGAAATTAGATATTTTACCATGTCTACATGACCCTCTTGAGAGGCAAAGTACAGGGGTGTACAACCATCGTTATCAAACGAATTCGGATTCGATCCTTGAGAAATTAGATATTTTACAATGTCTACATGACCTGCATATGACGCCGTATGAAGAGGTGTTCTGCCCAATTGCTCAGTTGCTCGATTCACATCAGCTTCTGAATTCACTAGACATTCAACAACATGAAGAAGACCCTTTTGTGAGGCAATGCAAAGGGGTGTTTCACCATTGTTATCAAGCGAATTCGGGTTCGAGCCTTGAGAAATTAGATATTTTACAATGTCTACATGACCTGCTTGTGACGCCGTATGAAGAGGTGTCCTGCCTTGCTCAGTTGCTCGATTCACATCAGCTTCTGCATTCACTAGACATTCAACAACATGAAGATGACCCTCTTTTGATGCCGCGCAAAGGGGTGTGTGTTTGTTGTTATCACCCATGTTAATATCTGCACCTTTAGTTAAGAGGTATTTTACTACATCAAGATGACCACATGAAGCCGCAGTACTAAGAGAAGTTTTACCTTCGCATCCCTTTAATTTTATTTCTGCTCTGTGAGTGATAAGATATTTTACAACGTTCAGATGACCATATTTTGATGCAGCATGAAGGGGCGAGTCGTTGTCATCACATGATACTTTGTTTACATCTGCTCCTGAATCCACCAGACATTCAACAACACCAAAATGGCCCTTCTCCGAAGCAACATAGAGAGGTGTATAGCCATTGCTATCACCAATATTGGTATCTGCTCCCTCACCGATGAGATATTGAGCAACAATCTGGTGACCTCTCCGAGACGCATAGTGAAGAGGGGCGTCGCCGCTTCTACTTCGTTTTTCTAGATCCGCCCCCAAATCAGTCATATATTTCACGAGGTCGATATGCCCTTTTTCTGAAGCGATATGAAGGGGTGTCTTTCCATCGGGATCCACACTGCATAGCATTACTAGCTTGGTATCACCTGTCTCGTCTTCTAGAATAGACCTTGTCTTTACAAGATCGCCTTCCTTTACCGCTTTAGAAAGCGCCATGTCCATTCTGTCTTCTCTATCGGTATGTGTATTCTCTCTCACTATATATTGAATAAAAAGGAAAACAAATATTGGGGAGAAAGTTGACATAGGAGCTTACCGCTCTAAAATAATTAACTATTTACATTTGAATGAACCAGGACAATAAAGGATGAAGGAAAATGTATAAACATGGTCCTGCAGATCAAAGAGATGATTGGTAGTATAAAATCGAGAAATAGCAATGAATTACAGACGTATTTAATACAGATTTTCGTTTTGCAAATTAACGGGATTCTCATATTTTGAAATCACTGAAGCCATGAAAAGATGGCTTCTCTGAATGTTATGATAATCATTATTCGTCGTCATGTTTTTGTTTCATTTTATGAGGTTTATGCAAAAGCGTTTATCCTATAGGGTGACGTACAAGTTAAGTAAGGCACTCCCTCCTATCGCTTCAAAAAGTTTTCACTAGCTTTGTAATCCAAGAAAAGCCATTCACGGTCTCGTACAACATTTGAATTCGGTGCCCTTCATCTTAACGCTTTATCCACTATTTAGACAAACATCTCAGTACGAGGGTGGAGCCATTAAAGTTTTGGGCCCATGGACTGATAATGCTAATACCTGTGAGAATTGCCCTATACAGTACATTTACATTGCACATATACATGCAGGGACGGCGATTTCTTTTCATGACCGGGGGACGAAATGCGAGGGACGAGGGAGCAGTGGCGTAATGAGCAAAAACGTTTTTTGGTTTTTTTTGTTTGTTTGGAAGGGGGGGGGGGCAGAACAAAATCCGCATCACCACCACTCTTACATGTTACGCAGGCCCTGGGAACGTTTTTCGAAGGAGGGGGGGGGGGAGGGCTAAAGTATTTACGATCAGGTAGAGCAAAGCAAAGAAAAGTGGAGCGTAAATTGGCGTAGGGTTCAGAGGTAAAGCCCCGGCGGAGCCCCATGAAGCTTTTAGGCATTTATTAAGGTCAGATGAGCATCCAGGGGGCAGAGCCCCCGGAAGCTCAGGGGTTTTAGGCATTTATTTACGCTCAGATGAGAATATTTTGATTCCTTATTTGTGACACTGGCATGCAGGCCACTAATTGGAGTGGGGTCCAGGGGCGGAGCTTCCAGAAGGTCAGGGGTTTTAGGCATTACATTACGATCAGATGAGCCCCCGGAATGTCAGGGGAAAATCATGCCATTTCAGCAATATTTGTAAATCACTGGTATCGAAATTGAAATAAACCACGTTTGAATTTCATTTTGGGGGAACTGCCCCAAAGACCCCTAACCCCCTATCAGTACGCAGGTGCGAGGGAGCAATAGTGAATGAGAGGGGTGAAGGTGACGGAACGTGATCAAGTTGTGTAACTAAAATAAATGCAACAATGCCTTCTGACCGGATACCCCTCCCTGGCGTGACTAACCCCTATGAAGGAGATAAAGAAAGCATTGGCACGATTGCATTGCAGTAAAGCGAGTGGGCCATCATAAAGACTTATATCCCCTCTGCACTAGTTTGGCCAGGAGAGATTAGCATGGTCACAGGCAGGTGGTTATCAATTAACATCAGGAAAGGGGGATCATGGGGGACCAACAGGCACCGTTTTTCTATATAGAGGGAGCAAGTAGTACAGTGAGGCTTTAGGTACAGAGATTTGAAAGTTTTCATGTTGGAGTGGGTCTACATCAGGGATTGATCTTTTCTCCCCTGCTGTTATTTACTGTGGTTGATGTTTTATCAGAAACAGTCAAGAAAGATTTTGTATGAAGTCTGTTGTATGCAGGTGACTAAGTTTTGATGGCTGAACCGTACCGTCAAGGCTTTGTGTGAGGGGTCTGTTCAAGGCGTGTTGCAGCGGGGTGGGGGGAGGGGGGGGGGGTTAACCCCCCTTCATTTTTTTAAAATGTGTGTAATTTGGAGAAAAATGTCCTTTTACCCCCCCCCCCCCCCGCTTATTCAGCGGCTGGCTGAGTCGTTGAGAAATTTTCTGCCCGATTTAAAATGTTAAACCCCCTCCCCCGTTGAAAAATCCCGTGTACGCTACTGGTCTGTTCCATATGAAAATGAACTATTATATTAGGGGATTTGCTTTTAATGGTAGGCAGGCAACCAAACAATTGAACACATATCTCTTGCCTAGTGAGACGGAGAATGCATTATGTTTATTGCAAATCATGCATTTGACATGGGAAAATTAGAGGAGTACGTATGGAACTGGAGAGCGTATGAGAGAGGGTGAGCATGGGCATTAAAGACAGTGTGAGAGTCAGATTAGGTGTGTGTGTGTATGTGAGAGAGAGAGATAGAGAGAGAGGGAAAGAGAGAGAGAGAGAGAGAGAGAGAGAGGACAGGGAGAGTGAGATAGAGAAGAAGCAAGACTGAGAGAAAGGGGAGAGGGAGAGAGAGAGAGAGATAGAGAAGGCAGGAAAGAGAAGGGGGAGTAAAAGAGGGATAGGGTAGAAAGATATATATAGGAGAGAAAGACAGAGAGAGAACAAAAGAAAGAGAAAGAGAGATAGAGAGAGAGAGAGAGAGAGAGAGAGAGCGTGAGAGAGAGAGAGAGAGGGAGAGAGGGGAGAACAAGAGGGAATGGGACTATGCCTGGACATGCTTTCATTCCAATAGAAGCAGAAACCTCACAATATTGGGAAGAATCACTGTGATTCTTCCCAATATTGTGAGGTTTCTGCTAACAGTTGATGTATCAAATGCTTTGAAGGTAATACAAAGTTTTGTTGTCGGTCATGAATTTGGTGCAAATGAACATATTGGAAGCATATGCGATCCTACAATATTCAGTGATCGTTGTCGCGGTTCAAATCAAGTCTAATGTAATGAAACTATAAATATAGGATTTCCCGGCTTTTAAGTACAGGTAGATGACGTCATTCACCGCCTTTACTTAATTGCACGACGAGTTGATTCGCTGCATATAATGATTGAGGAATAATTCTTTTCATACTGCTGGTTAACAAGTCTAAAGATATAGTCCTTGCATGCGTGCTCAAATTGGTGTAAACTGCGATAATGGCGAGACTTTAAATACGAATCAGTTAAATAACAATTCCAGCCGAATTCTTGACTGTCCGCTCTGATTGCATTAACTTGATAACACCTACTTTGCCAAATCTGATAAAACTTGCTTGATTTGAGAAGGTGGGAAAGTTCTCAAATGTCGACTCCCCATTCATAACAGCAGGACATGTAGAGCCTACGAGGAAGTAATAACACACAGCGTTGGGAATTCCAGTTGAACGCGATCAAGTTGTGTAATTGTAAGGGCTGTTTATGCTCAACTTTATCTGGCCAGAATGAGGCATTTGTTACGCGTTTAGTTCAAAACACGGTTGCGTCCTTTCTCATTTTTGTAGAATCACCGAAAAACGGCGATCGTATTCGCCGATCGTAAACTCACAAAAAGGTGCGTTTTGGATCGGCGATTCTGGGGAAGCATAAACGCACAATCATTTGTAAACGCGTTTAAATGGTGTCAACGTAGCATACGCAGACAGCGCAGTGCAGGTTTGCGAATCGAGCTGCAGAGCCAGAATCATGCCTGGAGGAGCCAGAGAAGTGAGCATAAACAGTACACCGTGGAACTGTGATTACGATGGGCGTTTACGATGAGCCTTTTCAAATCGCTCATTCTGCCTTCAAAATTGAGCATTAACGTACCCTAATGCCTCGCATGATCGCACGCATAGTTTGATATTCATATTGATATGTATTTCTGACGGGTTTCATTGTTGCGAGTGGGGTCATTCATTTGTATTTTTTTACATTTGTTTACAGAAAGAAAATTATTTCAATTCATCCAGACAGAGAGAGAGATAGAGAACGAGAGATAATATAAGCGAGTTGGTGGGTGGGTGAAGTCGGTGGCGTAATGAGCGAATACATTTGTTTGGGGCATACAAAATAAAACCCCGGAGAATCATGACATTTCAGCAACATTTTGCACTGGGATCGAATTAGAAATAAACCACGTTTGGATTTTTTTATCGCTATAGTGCAACAACAATAATGTGAAGCAAATACTGACTTAAAGGTAATATGTCCCATTTGCATGCCAAAAAGATGAAAAAGTTAAATTCCAACTACATTTGAAAGATAATACTAATTTAGAACTTCCCTAAAAAGGTGGGGCTTGAAAATGTCTTCAAGTGGAAAAATAACGACTATTAGTTGTCAAATCGACTTTAGGGCTATAGAGCCCAAAAGTAATAGTCTAGATTTTAAGACAATTGTACCGAATGGTCATACGTTTTATGCTGCGCAAAGATTAAATCAGTTTAATCTTGGCCATCACAAGAAGTGGGTTATTGATGTAGACAAATGCTCATGTACCCTTTACAACTCTTTTCATGTATGTTATTACCAAAGAAGAAAAAAAGCCAGTCAGTCACTTAATAGTGTCTGACAGTGAAGTCTAGCAAGTAAACGGGTTTTCTTGCATAATATGAATATGAGGACACTGCTTACGTTTAAATTTCACAGATAGGACATACATGACATATTTATAATTCCTGCAAAGTTCTACAGAATTTGAGGTTGGCTGCAAAAGGGACATAGTACCTTTAACACCGCAACACACTTTTAGGCTCTGGAGGGCACAAGAGTGTGGCGTTTGGATAATACAAATGCTAAAATCTTCTCGCTCGGTCGCCTCGCTCCCTCGCATAACATCCTTCAAAATATACAAGTAAATATTGTAAAACACCTGTATTCCATTGGTATCACGTAGGCACAGTTTACACTGTATGTTTACAAGATTAAGAGTTATAGAAATAGATCAGACTCTTTTAAAGAATACCTTCCTGCCTCGTTATAAAAGTATTGTCACCTAAAAAAAAAAAAAAAAAAAAAAAAATGCATAATCAAGCAGTATAGGCCTTCAGTGCATATCACTGGTATCATTCACTTGCCTTTAGTTTATATGAACGACGAGTTGTTTCGATGTAATAATAATTGAGGAGTAATGAACTACAAACTACTGGTTAACATGTCTAACAATATAGCCCTTACAAGCAGTCCGTGTGGTAAGATTTA